TCAGAGGAAATCTTCCTCTGACCAGAAGTTCTGGTATCGGGGGACGGTATTGCAGCATTTGGGCTAGTACAAGTACATGGGAAAGTGAACTTACCCTTTAATGCACATTTTGTGTGTGTAAGAGAGTTCTGCTGCTTGGCTACCACAATATGGCACACAGTGGAATGACACAATTTCCTACGCGTGTGTTTATTTACATGCAGATGGCGGGGTTGGTTTTAATTTTTTTTTAACTTTATCACTTTTATTCCTATCACATAGGGGCTTACAATCCCCCATCTGGAGGGGACAGGTTCTCTTTATGGAATCTGCCCTCCAACACAGAACATATGTTCTGTGCAGTTCCTGACAGCTGAGACAGGTGGCGCTGTGATTATAGCACCATGGTCTTACTGATCACACAGAGCAGAGCAAAGAATGGGGGCGGACAAGATCGCCGCTGCTCGATTGATTCAAGTGATCTGATCTGACTTGTATAAAAACGAACAGCGGCTCCCCACTGTACATTTAGTTCTGTTTGTCCGAAGCAGGGCTAAATGTACAAAGAAACTACTCGCCCGGCGCCCAAAAACTGCATGTCCCAGGCGTCGGATAATAGGAATTCCACACCCCTGCAAGGATGCTCTATGTAGATAGGATACACAGATATATACATGAGGAACTATAGCAATAAACAAATATCCAAAGTTACATGTAACCAATACGTTCAATATACAAAACAACATACTGTATTGCGTAATTCACATGCCAATATGTTATTTAGGATGCCAGCATTATGAGGAAGGACAATTTTAGCTTGTCTTTTTAACATGTGATTTTATACATTGGCTCATGTGATTTTACCTTATGTATCAATAAAGATTTATTTTTACACTCTTGGGAAATTACCATCAGTGGTGTTTTTTTGATACCAAAGGCCCCCGTTATCTTTTCAATTGTTGATATGATTCTAAAGACCAACCTGTCTTCATTGCTGTATGTGACCGCTTAGAAGTGAACAATTTCTTTGCATGGCCATGTCACCTTTTATAGTATTACTTTATTGGATTTTCTTTTAAAGGGAGACCTATTTAGGAATACTCTTTGCTGTGAGAGCCTTAAAAAAAAAAAATCATCAAAGGTTGTATGAAGTCAATTGCCATTAAGTATTACATTTGGCAGGCTTTAAAAGGTTTATCTGTTACTATACATTTACATGTTTACGTTGCGCCTGTGTGTTTGTAGGGCACACAGTGTATATTTGGCTTTAGTCCCAGCCTTAAGCACTGGTGTACAAGGGTGGCTGCATAGGACCCTGCAAGGGAAAAGGATATCAAGGTCAGTGCTCAGGAGACCAACTGATTCTGCAGGAAATTAAAACTTTATAACCTCAAGGAGCAGCATCCATTAAGTGATTTAATAAACAATTGAATTGGCTTAAAAATATCACTTTCATTATAAGAGCCAGGTGACAATTTTCATGATATTCTAGAGGATGAAGATAAGATAAGAGAACAAACCAAAGTTTTTGGTGTAGTGGTTAGCACTTCTGCCATGCAACATTGGCTCCGCTCTAAATTGTCCCCGTATGTATGCATGTGAGCTAGGAACCTTAGATTGTAAGCTCCTTGAGGACAGGGACTGATATGAATGTGCAACTATGTAAAGTGCTGTGTAAATTGTCGGTGCTATATAAATACCTGCAATAAATAAATAAGACTTTTTTTCAATTTTAGCTCTTTAACGTTTGTAAGCTGTGAAACTATTTTTTAACTATAAAAAATTATATTTAATAGTTATAAATCCTAAAGGATTTTTATGGGCTAGCTAAAAAAAACAAAACAGCACGGCAAGCGCTGAACTGTATTTTTGCAACATTGGACTGAGCCATATGATAAGGGATAATTGACTGCAATAAGTAATCTCATGTGCATGATTGCATGTCCTCTTTAAAGCCTATATACAGCCTTTTCAGCAGGCTGTGAACAGAGATATCGATGTGAAAAGGAGCAGAGAACTCCACCCCTTGGCTAAAACAAAATATGAATATGTTTTTTTTTAGTCCTAGTCAGGATAAAAAAAGGAAAACGTGTTAACAAATACCATGCATTACTTTTAAAGTGACACTACACTCAGAAGTTAAATCTTCCAATTGCATTCAAGTACCTTAACTACTAACATTATTGTACCTTATTTGTGTATCACTCGGTTGTAGATCCTCAAATCATCTCTGAATTGGTGCTGACAGTGCCCTTCCTCCTGGAGGGTGGCTACTTTTGTTCCTCATGGTCCCTCTGTGTTTTGTAAAGTAGGCACCTCTCCAATCTCGCTCCCCTGATGGACTACAATCTCATGTTTAGTTTACTAATTTGTATTGAGATTGTATTCCATCCAAGGAGTGAGGTTGGAACGTTTTACCATTTTTGTTAATAGTTAAGGTACTTGAATGCATTTTTAAGATTTAAGTCCTGAGTTTAGTGTCACTTTAAAGGTAAATTACATCAATAAATAAAAAGTTAAGGCTTAATATGAACCACAGATTGCTGTTTGTACCGGTTTTGAAGACTTTAAAGCAGAATTCCAGGTTCTAGTAAAAAAAATAATGCTGAGGGAAAAAAAATGTTGAAGCAAGTTTACTGGTGGCTTATTTCTTTCTTTCCTGTAATCTTGAAAAAGTGTTTCCCCTATATAAAACATGACATTGATTGGCTATGTTTTGGCTGCCTTGAAAAAAAAAAGTGATAATTTTTGTAGATGTGTTGTTGCATGTTTTATGGACCTTCAGGACAAGTAATGGCATAATATTGCAAATCTTGGGTAATGTTGCAATTTCTTTTCAAAGTAAACCCTTGCCAACATTCACATCGAATAGGATGCATAGCCTACGGGTAGTCTTACTCACAGTGTTAAAAATTTAAGTGTTCCACCATGCTATGTGAACCTTTTCAAACCAGGAGTTTTAATATGTCTCTTCATGAATAATATATGTAATCGTGTGGTCATATTTTGTTAGATATTTACATGCATGGCAGGTACTCTTTCAGACTGAAAACATTTTGTTTTCTGCTTTTATAAAATGTCATTGACACAGTCTCCTGACGGCCGTACTTAACCAAACATCAAGCGTAAATGACATGTTAAGTAGAATAAAACATACTCGGCTATGGAAAAAATACCCCGAGAAAAGTAGAAAGGTCACAAGAAACTATAATGAATGCACTCATCAAGCAGTAGTTTCTTGCTGTCTTGTGTTATTTATTGTGAAATAGTTTTTTTTACAGCAAACATCTGTTCAACATTTTTAAAGGCTAATTAAGTTTAACACAGGAACAATATGCCTTAAATATGCTCGGCTACAGCGAATATAAAAATGCATTTTTGGAGTTGATGCATCCACTTCATTTACCAAAACAGCGTCCCATGTCGGAGCTTGGCTGCTTTTTTATATGAGCCGTAGAAAATGTTACTTTACAATTTAAACAAGGCAACCCCATTATAAATTAGTGCTGCTGCAAGTCTAGATTGGAGTGTGTTGATATCTGCTCTCTGCAGTGTTGTCATTAAAGAACTGCTATTCTCTGAAGAAAATACAGTCTTTCAAAAGAGATGTGATCACAATATATCTGTCTTTTTTTTTTTTTTTTTCCTGAAGAACCCACGTCATTATACTACTTCAAGTAAGCATTTCCTCCTGTCTGACTTAGCAGAGCTCTTGCACAATTAATTAGGAAGGGTTACAAAGCCTGAGTGGTAATGGTATTTAGGCTACTGCTTTCATATTCAAGCCAAAGACTATGACATGTTTCATAAAGTATGGGAGTTGCAACTGCGTATGGCCTGCAGAGTGCTTTTGCTTGCTGAAAGAGAATTGTGCCATTATTGTAACAAAACATGCTGAGCATCTCTAAATTTTATATTTTTCAATAGTTAATAATGCAAAGAGCATGAATACAAAATGAAACATTTACTCGTACTGTAAACTAAATCAAAGCACATCCATTAAATTTGCTTCTCCTCATTTTGAGTTATCTAAGTCATAGGTCGACACAGCTACAAAGTTCCGTGTTATTTCTCACACAGCCTTTTATGTATTTTGAAATAATGCCAGCATTTCCACTGTATGCACTTGGAATTCAAACAGCGCATTAATAATCTTTGGTGGAAAGTAGATAGCACATGTTTTACCCTGCCTATAACTGTTCAGGCTTTTATTTCATAGCGATATTTTTCTTTTCTTTTCCCAACAGTGCACAATTAAAAGAGAAACTCACCCAAGTTTTGTTAAATAGCAACTCCCCTCTTCACTTCTCTTGATGTATCTTTGTAAATGTCCAATTTCACTTTTCATGCAGTTCCTGACTACAGTGTGCTTATCTTTTTAGGATATTTAGCAAAATATTTGTATGTGGAAATGCTCTTTTGACAAATAGGCCCAGTTTATTAATGTAGACTAAGAAATGATTTGGAGTAGATTGTTTATTATGTGACCCAAATCTTTTAGGTATATTAAACTCCTCTCTGTAAGACCTGGGTTTGCTTTGCCTTAGCCACTACTTGGATTCAGAAAGGCCCACAAAATTTTTAACTGATAGGTGACGGCAGACATCATTTCTGTTTTTTTGTAGGAACACATTGTCCATAGTTCCTAATCAGTAGCAGTAATAATAAAGTAATTTCATACAAAATACATCTCCAGCTGTTCTGCCTGCACTGTATGCAACACCATAAGAATTATTTACCGGTACATACACTTATGCAATATAATGCAAATTAAATGCTAGTATTATAATGATTATTTACATACACTTATTACAGGGTTTCTATTCATATTGTTTATATATTTATCCAGTTTGTTTATTTAGTAAATAAATACACGTAAAAAAAATAATTGGTTTGCGAGAACAAATTGATCTTCTGGCAGAGATGATTTTCTATTATTCACTCATCTTTATGTGAATTAACGTTATGGATTCACCTTTTTCCTCTCCCCCCTCCACCCATTTTTTTTTCCTTTCATTTAGGGTTATCTGCCAGCAAATGTGGAACGAAGAGAGGGGACACTAAAAAGAAAGCAAAAAGAGTATTTTGCCTTTATAGAACAGTACTACAATTCCCGGAATGATGAAACAAATCAGAGCACATACAGACAGGTATGGATTTGACTGTGGATGGGGGAAGTAAATTATATAACTGTTAGATTTAAAATGATGCTTAAGAAATAAAGTCAAGAAATAAGTGTAATTTGTTTACTACACTTACCTGCATTCCATCCTTACCAAGATCCAGCTCCTCTTAAACTGTGCATGGAGCCCTGGGGCACTGTTAGTGCAGTTTTTGCTGTCAGTGCGCTTTCTACTTCCATGTTTTCCACTTGATGTTTTATTAATGAAACTAGAGGCTGCCATGGAAGTTTGTCACCTGCAGCACACATTTCCTAAAACTCTCCAAGAACTGTGCAGAGGCCATTTTAGGTACCGTGATAAAATTATATAGTCAAAAACATTTCTTGTTTACAAAAAGAAGTTGTCTCCATCAGGATTTTTTAATACATTTTATTGTACTGAGCTGTTGTCAGAAGTGCAACTAAACTTCCCCAGCCTCTCAAAATAGGAGAACTTTATTTATATAGATGTAAAGTGGACCTGTCAGTAACTTACAAGCCTGCATAAATTCCTATCATGTCCTAACATGTCCTAAAAGTGATCCTTGAGCTTTGGTTATTGACCTTGCTTAAGCTGCGATGGTGTCATTAGTTTGCTGCAGGCAGAAGACAACATTTCCTCAATCTCCTCTTCCCCAGTGATCAGACTTCAACATTGCAAAGTTGATACAAGGTGAGAGATTAACAGGCAACAATATTTAGATGAGTATGTTAACTCTGAGCCAGGATCTCAGTCTAGGAGGTAGATAGTGACGCTGGATGATGCCTGAACAAAGATGGTAATGTTCTTGAGAGAAAAGCAAATGAAGGCGTTGTCAGGTGGAGTAAAGTGAAAAGTAATACATGTTTGGAAGTGTTAGGCCTGGTTCACACCTGTACGTTTTTTGTAGCGCGTTCAACGCTCTACGAACGCTCTACAAAACGCTCAAACATGAAAATCCCATTGTTTTCTATGGGTATGGTTCACACCTCGCCGTATTTCAGCCCGTTTGAATGCTACAAAACAGCCTACGCCTGAAAAGGTACATGAGCTTCTTTGCGGCGTTTTTGTTGCGCGTTCCCATTGGAATACAGCCAAGTAGCCCTCGGAAACGCGTGTTTGTCATGCGTTTTTTACCGTGAATCGCTGTAAACGCGCGTCACGAAATGCGAGACAAACGCACATATTCGATACGCCTAGGTGTGAACAGAGCCTAACACTGACACCATATTTGACTTGTATGTACTTAACATTAAACACTATATGAAAGTGTATCTAAGCCCAAACATAAAATGTAATCTATTGCAATTTTCCTTTCCTTTTTTTTTAAAGATGTTTTTATTGAAAAATATAAAGTATTAACAAAAATAGTCTAGACAAGAAAAGCAAAGTCTGCAGAAGTATGTGACGTTGTAACAGACTTACCCATCCTCGGTCCAGCGCCGCCTGGTGGGGCCGAGCACGGCCAGCTCGGCAGCCAGCTCCTCCCCTTCAGGGCCGTCCAGCTCGGCAGCTAGCTCCTCCCCTTCAGGGCCGTCCAGGACGGCAATCAGCTCCGCCCCCTCACGTCCGTCATGTACAGGACCCAGCTCCTCCCCTCCGCGCTCGGCGAGGAGGGATTTAAGGGAGCTGAATTGTTTGTTCAGCGTCCGACCGTTGTGAACGGTGCACGCCGAACAAGACGAGGAGTTGGCTATTGCAGCACATGCACCAAAGGACCCAGCAGCGATCCCTCTAAAGCGCAAGTAGCCTGAAGGCATATGTGACAGTATCTACAGGGTTGCTGACTTATGCCATAATACTAAATCTGGAGTTAAATGGATTGTGAAGTGCTGTTGTGAACTTAAACACTGTGAAGGGGTGGATAACATAGTCTGTGCCTCAGCTCTCATATTCCTTCAATAGACTGTTAACCTGCTCACTACTGATTGTCTCCTGCTGGAGCTATACTTATATACTGTCATTTCCTTCAGTAGTCTACTATCAATAAGCATTGCTGAACCTGTGTGACTTCAAGCTGTGAGGGGTATTGCTATCGCAGTCTGTGCCTCTGTTTCCACATCCCTGCTAAAGACTGTTAACTAGTTCAATGCTGATTACCACCTGTCGTAGTTAAACCTGTGTGCTGTGAAGGTTGAAGTTTTACCAGGGGAGTTACACACTGCTAGGAAGCATTTCCCGCACACTTGCTGGGACTGGATCGGATCAGTACCTTTAACCACACAACTGAGTGACTAGAACCTGCTGTAGTGACATAGTGTGAATTGTGTGTTGCGTCTCCTATAAACACTACCGGCCTGTTGCGCCGTGGAAGCAGGTGTGTTGGAGGGATTCGCAATACTCAGTTCACCCAAACTAGATCAGGGGAACCAGGAGACCCTGTAGCACTCACCTACCCCTTCTACTCTGCCGATACTAAACTCATAGTTGCCCAAGTGGCAGGGAATGATGTGAAGTGATTCCAAACCCTCCATCAAACACTAAATGGAGTGTGAAGGAAGGAATCAAAACTGAACCCTGTCATTACACCAGTAACTCCGCAGTTGAGCGTCCAGTTATAGCCTCACGGGTCATTACAGACATTGAGGCATATCATGCAGACACATATTTCGAAGACAAAATCCATAACCCATATAGCATTTAATCCCATAGAAGGCATCACATCAAATAGCCTTCCTGACATGAACTACGTATGGGTGAAGCTAAAGCGTAGAAAACATGGGTCCAGAGCATGATGTATATTCACAATATAAGGGGACATGCCTCATAAGTCATAGCATATATCAAGGAGAGCAAAAACAGAAAGAGGGCGAAAAGAAAGAGGAAGAAACAGAAGAAGAGGAAAAAAGAAGTCGGAGAGGGCAGGGGATAGACAAACATAAGAAAAAGAGACGAGTGAAAGTAGAAACAGAAAGGGGTGTGTCCGTTCGATCTCCAGGCAGTTTGAACACCTGAACCAGACCCATGAACGAGGCTATGACCGTTCAGATATCTATTTATCTCAAGGAAATCTTCAGTGGTACACAAAATGAAGCCACACGCTCCAAACGTTGTAGAATTGGGAATGGTGATCATATAAACTGGCCTTAAGTTCCTCCATCCTGCAGAGAGAGTGCATTTCATCAACCCATTCCTTCAAAGTGGGACTTAGAGAGGATTTCTTATCCTTAAAAGCAGTTGCATGATTCGTTTCAACTCCCCCCACCCCCTTTATTTTCACCTGGTCATCTGACCAGTAATACACTTCCTATCTTAGTGTTGGCTCCACTCTTCAGAGCAGCAGTGGAGCCACCCTTGGACAGCAACACTGTCAACCTGTGGAGAGGGTGGTGTTAGAATGTACTAGCAGATTTAGTTGGACTTGACTAACGCCAGCTTTTTAAGCAGTCGCAGCAGCAGTTTTTTTTTTCTTTTTTAATAAAGGTTTTATATAAATGAATTAAAAC